ACCGCCTTCGTGTGTTCACCATTGAAGAAGGGGACTGTGACCGATTTCTTGTTTTGCCGCTGGAAGGGGACCGTAGAAGAAGGGGACCGTAGAATCGTGACCGCCTTCGTGTGTTCACCATTGAAGAAGGGGACTGTGACCGATTTCTTGTTTTTGCCGCTAAAACAGAACAGCAATACTAACAAGCGCTTCGAGTGTTAGGTGAACCTAACCCTTTTGGAGCCAAAAAAACTTAATATTTTCGAAAAAGCAGAAATTTTTGCATTCAAATATGATTTCCGTACAGAGAGTGTAATTTGATACTTTTTCTGCGCAGGCCTATGTGAGAAAAAATTAAATAACCCGGCTGGCGGTTGACCACAGTAAAGAAAAGAAATACTAGCTATGAGGGAAGTTGAAATCTACTATTGAATCTTTAAAAAAACTCAACTTCTGCCAATATTTGCTTGATAAGATCGGCTGTTTTTTTGCCGATTAAAACATCTCTGTTTTTCCAACGAAACGACAACTTTTAATTTGTATGACTGCTTAAATGTTCCGTTAAATTTTTGATTTTTTTTTGAGGAAATACAATTGGGCGCTCAAAAACAACATGATTTAAGAAAGTTCAAGATACCTACTTCAGCAAAATCTTAGCCGGCTTGCTGTAAAAAAAAATTTTTTTGAATCCAAATAATATTTTCGTTATATTAAAATGAAGCAATAATCACTCCATGTGCGCGCTGTGCTGCCCCTTTGGTTGTTCACAACTAGTCCTTTTAGCCTTACCGTACTGAAAAATTCGTCTGATTCAAATTGAAGTCCGTTTGCCCAAGTTTAAAGTCCATGAGCTTTCAGTCCAATTTAAACCTGTTTTTCCGTGTGAGTTGACAAAGATATAAATTGTAACATTGATGCCTCCAAAAACGCCAACGCTTCTAAAGATATGACTAAAAAAGATTTCTACAGTTTTAAATCAAAACAAGCTATTCTTAGTCTACATATACGGTTACGTCAGACTAAGAATAGCTTGTTTTGATTTAAAACTGTCGAGATTTTTATAGTCATATCTGTAGAAGCGTTGGCGTATATTTATACGCTTAGAGAGCGATTTTGCAAAAGTAACCGAACACTCGAAACAAGTCACATCCGCACAAGTAGCAAAATATTAGCAAAACTTTTTTTCTAATGAAGATGAAACTTCAATTCGACAAAAATTTAGGACTTGTAAACAATTCAATTCAAGAGCAGAAAATAAAGCCAAGAGCAACATCTTTTGAATAAAACCACTGACTCAGCAGGTGTGCCAGCAGAATTTTCTAATGATTTCACTCACAAAATATCTACAGTTCAACAACAAACTTCACTGTTTGTTGAGTCGTATTGATTGAAAACTCTTTCTGGATAGAAATCTAAGAACGGCAGCTTTGGGCCTCAATTGTTGTTTTTATGAACACGTTGAAGGCCGCTTTGCGCTTATTTTTGTCTTAAGAGAACCAAAAAAAATGCAAAAATTTATGATGTATGACAGCCAAAATCCGTAGGGTTTTTTCAAGAAAAGCAGTGCAAGAATTTAGCAATCAATTTCTTAAGAAATTATAGTACAACTGAATGGAATTAAACTGAAGTTCACCATAATGCTGGATATCAAAGCGACCAAGTTTGCATTGTCTCAAAAGACAAGTTATGGCAGGTCCGGATTAAAATGAACTACCTAAATCAAAAACTACGTTATGTTTCGTGAATATTTTATATTGCAAAAAAAAACAAGAAAAATAAAATTAGCCTGATCAAAAAATCGTCATTTTTTAGCTTAAAGCACATTGAAAAATCTAGAAAACATTTTAAAAATTTTTTTGAAACAAATCTAACTCAAACTGTTTTTTGTACTTTTTTAATCATTCGAGTACACTGATCATCAAACACTTCGAAGCATTTAGAGAGCTGATTAATCATCGGTTTGTAACCACATTTTTTTGATTTTCGCTGTTTACTGCTGAATCAGCTGATTGCACTGTCATTCAAGGAAACTGCGTTTGTTTCGCGTTTTATTTTTCAAAAGAAAAATTAACTTTTCGGTTTTTCTTCTTGAAGAAATAACTCTTTGGTGCTCAGAAACAACATGTGCTAAGAAACTTCAAGTGACCATTTCCATCAGAAACTTAATCGATTTTCTTCCAAAAAATAGTCTTCAGTTTTTTGGAAAATTGAAGCATTATTCAGTTCAGGCGCGCACTTTCTAAATTTTTTTCAAAACAAGTGCCAGTAGCCTTACCAAATAGAGAAAAACTGCCTGAATAAAAAAATCAAAGTCCAAATGTAGAAAAGAAAGTCGCTCAAGTGGAATCAAATTGAAAACCCAATTACTTGGAACCAGTTGAAAACTAGTATTTATATTCGATTATATTATTGATAAAACTATCTCTTTAAAATATTTCTAACTAACAATCATGATCCATAACCAACACTGTCGATTATTTGTAATGCTGAAACTACTTGTAGTGTTAGCACCAGAACAAAAGAAATATAATTTAGAAGATATTCGTTCTGCTTTAGAACAGTTCCAGATATCTAACTCGCAAATAACAGTATACACTAGATCTATTGAGACTAGGAGATATAAGAGTAAGATTAAGATAGGTATCAGACTACGAAGTTGCACGAATCTATCCGGCCGAAAATAAAATAAGATAGCGTGACGAAACGACGGTGTACGTTGTCTGAAAATACTCTAAGAGTGAGCCACTCTGGACATAAAGTCATCTGGTGCGACCAAGATTCTCGAACAACACACTATCAAATAAGCAAATTCAATAGAAATAAGATCAAAAATACATAACAAATTTTCGATGGTGTAAAAAACTTATTAATTATCACTGTACGTGAATTGTTATCACTGTAAAAAACAATAACAATACCGCAAACACCAGGTCAAAAACCGAACATCAGACCGAGTCCCTATATCGTGAAACGACGCAGTCTGCAACAGTTATTCCTCTACAAAATTCTTAATGCAGTAGTATTTCATACACTTACAAGAAATTAAAAGTTACTTGGAGTAGTAAGATTCATTTCTAAGCAATATACCTCTCAATGATGTATAACTAATTTATATAATTTAATAACGACTGATAAAAAGATGCAAATGTCGTTCATATCATTACATTTGCAGTAAAATTTATATATTTTGTAAAATATTATTTATTGAATAAAAAATACAAAAATTAGTTAGTAGTTAAATCAAACATAGGTTCATTAAAATTGTAAAAAGTTCTTTGCTTCTCAGGGAGTTGTATCCTTAACTTTTCATAAGAAACTCTTTTTTGTTCCTTCATCTAAAACATAACCATAATCAGTCAGAAATTAATATCATTTAAATTTTTAACTTCTAAATCAACCTTTTCAAAAATTTATAATCTTTCACTGAATTTAAGCTTTAAATTCAAATGTGGTCAAGGCCCATTCTTATTTGGAAATAATCTAAGATTTCTTTAAACCAAATCATCAATGCTATCCTTGGATTTTTAATTTAAAACTTAAACCTAAGTTTTTATTCAATTAAAAATATTTGATCAAAGAGACTGTAATAATTATCCCCTTCTGGCCTAACCCACCAGAATGAAGTCGCTCAAAGAACATTCGCCTACCATGTGCTACAACCCTGATCCGGTATTTTTGCTAAGAATGGCTCCAGGGTGAGCAACTCTTTTAATATAACCGGAAATAAAAAAAAAACGTTTCTGCGAAATCAACTAATAAATATCATAACTAAAACATATCTCACTATCAAGTTCTAGATATAAAAATGCAATGAAGAAAAAAGTTTAAAGCAAAAGGAACGACCAGCAAAAGGAGAAGAAAACTCGATGACATTTGGACTTTGGAATGGCAAATCTATTCGTTTGTTGCCGCAGAAAAAACCTTCACAGGATTTAAAGTGTGGACCCAACATCGCAGCAAAGGTACCCATTGAAGGAGAACAATGGCCAACTCGATGGTGACTTCACATACGGATACTAGTCACTTGACGTTTCACACAAAGAAGTCATACTCCACCTTGCACGTAGTCTCGCTCTAACTTAACGAAACCAACACAACATTGCATAAATCTACAATCTTGACACGATCGCTCATTTAAGTTGAAAACTCGATGACATTTGAACTTTGGAATGGCAATGGGTCCTCCTTCTCTCTATGAATACAGCTACTCCGAAATACGAACAACTGTTTCCACTTCTTCTCTCACGCAATCACTGCTTCAAAAAGAAACTACTCCAAGAAACAAGAAATCTCTCCATCCATCCTTCACTGCAATAAACATAAAAACTTATAACTCTGTAAACGCCGGATGGGTGGAACCTGTTTAAAACTAGTATTTTTATCCAATTATATTATTGATAAAACCATGTCTATAAACTAACCAATCATGATCCATAACCAACACTGACGATTATTTGTAATGCTGAAACTACTTGCAGTTTTAGCACCAGAACAAAATAAATATAACTTAGAAGACAGTCATTCTCCTTTAGAACAGTTCCAGATATCTAACTCGCAAATACCAGTATACACCAGATCTATTGAGACTAGGAGATATAAGAATAAGATTAAGATCGGTATTAGACTAAGAAGTTGCACGAATCTATCCGGCCGAAAATCAGGTAGCGTGACGAGCAGACAGTGTACCTTACCTGAAATTACTCTTCAACCCTTCCTTTCACGCACATTCCTTCAACTTTTGTCGCTTCTCCTCTTCTAAAAAGTAATTCGGGCAGGGCTTCTAAAATTTATGAAAATTGGGTACTAAAACGACCAGTCATTTGGGAATTGTACCCCAAATTGTGGCTTGTTGAAGCTGCCATTAGATGTTGTATAACAATTCCCTTTTTGGCCATCATTTGAAAAACTCAAATTGAATTCGACAAACAACTTCCACCAATCGACTAACTTTCAAGTCCGTCGACCTATAGCCTGCAGGGGCAAGTTTATCATATGATGCATGACCGTTTTCAGAACAGCAATAAAATAAATCTAAAATCACTTTTCAGCAATTTGGTACAGCATATGTTGTAACATTTTTCTAATCACCGCTGGTCTTTTTTCGGATTATCAGTGCATCTGCTCTGATCCCAATCACGCTGTGTCTTTACAACAAAGAGCCGGAGGATTTAGTCGGAATCATTGTCGTCACGCTAAGATATGGTTCAATAGGTTATTTATCTAATCTTATCTTATCAATTCAAAGAGCGAACCAGCTCTTGGTTGATTGCAGCTTGGAACCCTAAAGGCATTTCACATTTAATCTTAGGAGCGCAAAGAGGCTAAAATAACATTTGCATTACAGTTTAATGTTAATAGTTGCATTTGCAGTTTAATGCTACGGCTACATTAAATAATAGATAGTTCGATTTTTTCCGAAAAATGTTTCGAAGCAGTAATCTGGCGGAAATCAAATAGATAGAAATATGTAATAAAAAAGTGCAGATTTGTAGGCTTACAAATCAGAAAGGAACAGCAAAAAATACACGTTTTTCTCGAAGAAATCCGTTGTTTTTTCACAAATTGCAAAAAAAAATTGTTTATTATTTTTCTCTTAGGGAATAGACGAGGTGGATAAAAGAATTGGCTTTCCATATCGCCAGTGATTAATAACGTTTAGTTGTCTTTCATATCTTACCACAACAACCCAGATTTTTTTAACCTCACAATTGATGTTCAGGAAACGTGAGTTCATTAAAACCACTGATGCTGAATTTTCCCACACTGCGTCCTCTTGAAAATGTTTTAATGGAAAAATGCTTTAATGGAAAAACTACGGAAATTGGGAGAAAATTTGCTGCTATAATTTCTATAAGTTCAACTTTTGTGAGGAAAAAAGGATGTTTCTTTTTTACTTCAACAATTGAAATAAATGGCTCAAAAATTGTAACGGTCCATCTGCCTCGTAAACATTGCATGCATCATTGCCCCTGGCCCAAGATAAAAGTCTACTTATAACAGTTTACAATCAAAATTTGTTTCATTGAACTATTGAGTGCTCAGTAGTCCATTTTGCCTCAGGAAAAATGAAACCTTGTATTATAATACCGATGAGTTCCGTTTGTTACACTTTTGTCGCAATTATTTATCTGCAGTTAAATATTTCTCCCTCAATCGCTTCCCTCGGAGCTCAGCCTTCTAGCGATGATACTGCACTGTATAATGGAGTTGAGGGGGAGCAGAGACTGTTAAGGAGACTGAAGAGGAGATTGCCCTCCATGTGGCCGCCTGTGGATTTGGTCAACAGAACTGTCTTCGTTTACATCGACCTGTTCAAGATACAAGAGATACAAGAAAAGGTACAAAACTCATTTCAATATCCTCATTTTTTAAAATTATCATAACTCAAACTCAAACGAAAAAAATGAGTAAATATAATTAAATAATTCTTTATAAATTACAATAAATACAATTAATCTAAATAAATACAATAGTTATTTTTATTATCAGTTCTACATGTTTTAAGGTCATACTTTAGATGACAGAATTTTTTGTTTCATTTTTGTAATTACCAATTTCAAAAGCTTCCTGCCGTTTTGCCAGCATGGTATGTGGATTGGAAAATTCTTCACCTACTACTACTACTATTCACCCAGTGCAAAATGGAACAAAAGCGAGTACAACAACGATACTGTGAAAACATTCATCGCTCCTAAAGGAACTTTTTGGATGCCAGATCTGAGTAAGAATAATTAATCTGGGGGTTAAGATCTCAAAAAAGTATGAACATTTTTTCCACTCAACTATTTTGGTAATTATAAATTTTGGTTAAATCAAGGTCAACTGAACAAGTTTCCGAGGGCCTCCAACTTATTACCCCGGTTGAAGTCCAACGTTAATTATTGGTTTTTCTGTAGTATTCAGCAATCGCTAGTTTCCAGTGCTGATTCATGTATAATTCAGAATTTTTTGCATAGCTATTTCAGTAAGGATTGCGTAGAAAAACAGCGCTCACAAGAAATCTTTTCTTGTAAGAAATTTATTCTAATAGCTTTCAATTGAAAATTTTAGTTGATAAGCCCTTGAACTTGAGTAGATCTAAGGCTTGAGGGCAAAGAAGTAGCATAAATGTCTCCAAAGTAGGTGGATGTGGGATCAAGCCCAGGTGGTTCACTACTTTTGCTCATTTCGATAGGTTTTTTTTAGAGCTGTTTCATCGCTGAAAATTTGCCAAATTACCGATAATCTATCAATAAAATTTGCTATTGTGGCAATGAACATCGATAACTGATCGATGGCAATCGCTGTTTTTTTTCACTTTTTTATCGCTTATTTTCAATGTGAGCTCAACCCGGCTAGAAAGACATTATTTTGCCGAAATTTTGCTGAGAAAAAGACAATAAAGATTTTTTGGCGCACAATCTCTCTTCAAAATAAATATGTATTGAAACTAAATTTGCCAAAAATAGGTTCGGCAAAGAGGCTATATTAACATAGTACCAAAAGATATAGCAAGTTTTAGCAGTAACAATATGAAAAAAAACGTTGTATCCAATTGAAAGATAATTTCCGTAAAGGTGTAGAATGACCACATATATTTGTTTTCCTGTTCTCAGCCTAATTGGGTCATTTTGGCTTTTATAGTTGTTCATGAGGCTTCGGAGTTGAAGTATGAAGCATTCGACAGACAGGTCGTTTTTGAGTCGGGCATGGTCCTGGCATACACCTCACTCATGTCCTATCAGATGAACTGCATGTTTGATGTGTCTCAATTTCCCTTTGACTCTCAGCAGTGTGTTGCAACTCTGACAACTCATGTCTCACAGCCTTACGATTATCAGCTAGGTGATTTTGCACTTTTAAAAAACAAAACTGTACCATGCAAATAAGATTTGTCGCCATTTTTTGGAAAAATCCAAAACAATATAACTCCTCACCGGAGTTTCATGGATGAGGAGGATAACCTATATCAATTGAAAAATTTTGGGTGAAGGTTGTCATTATAATCACATAATGTTGGAAATAAACACCTTATTTTTCCAATTGTTTCGGGAAACACAATTGACTAAATTCTATTATAGGACTTATAGGACAAATCAGGAACGTTTATATTCCATTCAGCTATCATTCATGTTAACAAATGTTTAGAGTAGCTCTCATTGGATTTTCATTGATGGTTATTTATTCAAGATAATTTTCAGCGTCATCAATTTATCAATCCTACTAATCTGAATCTTCCAAACAGAACGCAGGACTGAAAACACGTTGCATTAGATAAGCTAAGATTTAAATTGGTCTAGAAAATCGTTATCTTGTTTTCATATAATCTGCATTTAAAAAAATTATTCTTTCCAATTTACGTCTCGTTCGACCATCGAGCAAACTACCACCTCACTCAACGTTTGAAAGGGTAGCAGGGGGATAGAATATAAATGAGGTGTATAAAATTGAATAGGTTTAGATTTTTCTAAGGCCGTGAGTAATGCAGAAGTTGTTGCAAGTCAAATATAATGGATTTTAAATGGCTATTACCAAAATAGTGCATTTTTGGGTTGATTTTCTACAAAAACAGCCGATTATAATGACAATATCAATTTTATGATATAATTTTGCAAAAAAATGGATTGTTATGATAAAAGTTTTATTAACATTTTTCATGGATAATCGATTTTTTTCAATGAAACTCAGGTGCGGGACTTTCTTGAATTCATCATTCCCGAACTGAAAAAAATGGTTTCGGATCAATTTAAATTGATTTTAACTCGATTTAAAATCAATCCAAATTGATTACTAATGTACATTTTACCAACTTAAATGCATTTTAAATCGATTTAAATCAATACTTGTCTGAAAATTTTAGATTGATTTAAGTGTCTTAAAAATCAATTTAAATTGATTTGGATGGATTTTAAGACTCACTTACATCAGTTTTTTGCTAACACGGCAAAAAAACATACTCAGAAAAAAAATATTGAAATATTTTATTCTCGATTTTTTATAAATAAAAAAATACGTGCCAGATATTATAGAATTCAATAAAATGATCCACATAAATCAAATTTTAAGCTCAAAAATATGCAATAAAATTAAAGAAAATCATTGTAAATCAGAGTATGGGCAAACTCCTGTGTAATAAACAAAAAAAAGGTCAGAATAAATTAAATTTTTTGATCCCAATAATATGCAAATAAATCAGATTTTGAGCAGAAAATTATGAAACGAATCAAGAAAAGGGTCAATATAGACCCGTTTTTGAACTCAAAACATGTAAGAAAATCGCAGAATTTGATCAATATTTTGGTCTTTTTTTCTGGTCTTTTTTATGCTACAATACGCTATGGATGTAAAATGAAAAATGATAGGCAATGAATAAATGCAATAGAAACTTCAAACTGATGAAACTCGAATGAAAAAAAATCGCTTAAAAATAAAAACTAATTAAGACTCAAAAAAATGGATTTAAATCGATTTAAAATCGATTTGGATCAATTTTTGTAGCTGGGATTTAAGATCAATTTAATTCAATTTTAAATCGATTCAAACCAACATTCATCTTTTATATTCAATCTTCGTGCTTTTTTCACACTAAAATTGATCTAAATTTATGCAACATACTTTTTTTATACTAAAATCGATCACAATCAATTTTTGTCAGTGTGGGAAGAGTTCATGATTATATTTGGTTTACATTTAACTGTTTTGAAAACAGCAACTGAAGATAAATTCTACCCCAAAGACAAATCCGGGAAGTCGTATCTTCCTCTTCTGTATTTCATCCCGTGTGACCAGTGGCAGCTCGAAATTCCAGTTGAGATTGAAGTGGATCGACTGAAAGGAAAATTAGAAAATCAGTTTCGACCAGTTGTGAAACTAACGATCAATTTACAGCGGCGTCCTTTGTTTTACAAACTGGTTCTTGTCTATCCTTCTGTGATTCTGTACCTGTTATCAGCCGTCACTTATTTCATTCCTCCGAACTCTGGGGAGAAAGTCTCTTTTGCAGTGACCATTCTACTCACTGAAGTTGTCTCCTATGGCACTCTGGTGGACATTCTACCGGCAAGTTCACACCATGTTCCCCACCTGATATACTTCCTGGCCGCAGTTACTTTTCATCTGACTTGGACTTGTGTCACTGCTGTAACAGGTAAATATTCATCGAATTTTTAAATTTTGGCATTTTGTAGCTTGGGTGCGCGGAATAGGGGCAGGGTAAATTTATAGTTTTTTTTTCAGGGGGGAGTGGGTTTATAGGCGTTTGGAGGATCTGAATAACAAGCCAAGTAAACAATGCTACTTTACTGATGTCTACACGAGTGACTTCAAATTAGTTATTTCAATAAAGCTAATAAGCTTATTTACAAATTACTTCTAAATAACGTGGTAAGAGAGCAGAGTCAGTCACTTACGTTGAAGTATTTGGATGGCGATAAATTTCCATTAGGTTGTGTGCTTGCTCAATGAGAATTGCTCTGGAGCTATAAAAAGTTATAAGGTACCAAGCTTCTTAGATGAGGAGACTGAATACGAGATAAACCTAAGCTCTACTTAATCAGTAAAATCAGGGTGAGCATAAAAATGTATCCAAGTTTGATGTTTCTAATCAAATCTTACAGGGTATGCTTTTTTAGTTGTGAATATCCAGCACAAATCGCCCTTATTCGAAATGTACAAATGGGTAGAAGACATTTTAGCCAGCAAATACATTTCGCTTCTCGGACTGCAGCTCTTTCCAGTGAAGAAAAAGAGTTGGATTACAACAAACCAATCGAAAGGCATAAAACTGGCCAATATAAACCCTTCGGAGCCAATCAATGGAATCTACACTGCTGACAACTATCACCAAAACGAGCCAACCGCTGTCAATGAAAAGAAACAAGACGAAAATGAAGAGTCGGTGTTGAAGTGGGTATACCTGGCAACCTTTTTGGACCGTCTTTTTTTCATATTGCATATTGTGGTGATTGCTATCAACTTGTCAATGTTTTCTTATTTCATGGAACCCTATTAAATGAGTAAGTCATCGATGTGATATTGTTCAAAACTATGCAAGTTTCACTGGAAAAAGCCAAAAATTTAACAGAAAAAAACTCGAAGTTTTAGTCATATGTGAACTAGTAGGTTTTTTCGAAAAAAAAAAGAAACATGAAATAAAATTTCAGTTGAACAATTTGCCTGATTGTTTTTTCTCGAACGTCCAATTTTGGCTATCCGTTTTAAACAATTAAAATTTTATCTAAACACGGTTCTGATCTGAAAAACGGCCAAAAGTTCAAAAATTCAATTGATATTATGTTTTAAGGTAAAATTGAAATGTATCTTTTCACCAATCTTTTCCAGATGAAAAATTGAGTGATATTGACTGGTCATAACGACTTCCAAATAAACAGTGAAAACGATCATGCATATATGTCAGCTTTACCTTGTCTAGCCTGTGCCACTGGATACATAAAATTATTAACTGATCGTTAAAACGCTGAACTTGAAGTTTTAATCATATCTGAATTGGTTCCCATCTTTTTGACTCAAAACAACTTAACACCATACAATTTCTTTCCCTACTTTTCATTTCCTTAGCAAATTAAAACCACTACTTTTAAAATTATTTTATATTTTAATACCGTTCTAATCCAAAATGAAATGAGAACTTACTTCAAAGGGGAATTCGGTAAACATCAAACAATAAAGCCAAAAATTTTAGGCGATTCAAAGCCCGACAATTTTGCGCTACTTAATTTGCAGAAATTTTGAATAGAAATGCCCTTGCCAATATTTCGAATTGTTAAAATGATTTGAAACAAAAACGAGCATTCTTTCAACAAACCTTTAAGTCCCGCAAATATCTGAACAATCTTTCAAAAAACTTGGCTTGATTTTCCAGACATTTTTAACTTTTTCAGCAACTTCAGGAAAGCATAAAATGGATGCCAGAAATTTTGTGTGTAAGAAATATTTCGTCAAATTTATATTAATTAGCACCAGCAGGTTTTAATAGTAATCATAATATTTTAGTGAAAAAAACAATCGAAAAAAAACATGAACTTGAATGAAAGTGTTAAGTACTCGATAAAAGTTATAAGTGATTTGTGCAGTCTCAATTCAGCATGTATAATTGAGATGCGTGCGTTAGTTTCTGGATTAACTCCAGCGTGATAGGAGTTAAGACAAGGAGCTCATATAGCATATTTTTTGGCGTTAAATTTTAAAAAAGGAAATAGCTTGTTGTGGATTTAAATTTTTTAGTAATGAAATGACTTGGTAGTAAAATGTATGGTGTTATTGTATGGTAATAAATTGTAGGATATCATTTGGGTTCTCAAATTATAAAAGTTCGCAAATAACAAAAGAAATTTTCAAAATAAATTTTTTGCCCGTTCGCTCTCAAACCGTCCAATAATTTTTTCAGTTTACCAGCCAGAGTTCTCACTCGAAGTTTAAATACTTAAGGTTATCTTAGCTAAGCTATGGCTACCTTACAAAAAACATAGATCTTTTTCCTTTACCCCACCCGCCAATTTAAAAAGTAAAAATTTTCTTTACATTGTCTGATTGTTACAAAAGTTGGCATGAGGCATGACTAAGTCATGCCAAACCTATTTTGTATCCAAACACAACCTTGTAAAGCCACTAGTTAATCTGAAAAATTGATATTTAAGTTATGTGGGGGAAAATCAAAAAGAGCCATAGAGCTCAGCTTGTAAATAGCAGCGCAAGGGTCATTTGATCCGGCAATCAAATGATTGGTGGGCACCATCATTGCCGATGCACCACAACGCTACAAGTTGTTGCAATATAAACTTTCTATCATGTTCAAAGATATAAATCAGATGTTCCCTCGCAGCAACTTTTTCCAGATGGAACATGGAGAAGTAGTGAGCGCTTCTAAAAAAATTGGTGAATCAATATCGGACAATCAATTAGTCTTTTCCTGTTTACCACCATTCCGCATCGACTTCCTGTTTAGTAACTTGTCTTATAAGTCAATGCACTCCTTGGTAGATTATATCGACTTCTGAAAAATTCGCAACAACTTCCATGCATATGTGTCAGCCTCACCTTGTACAGCAACTGCCACTGGAGATACACTTTTCAGCCATCTTTTAAGATGATTTTGTTTCGATTGAACATTAAAACTTCCAACTTTTCAGATGAATATGATTTCAAATTTTTTTTAGATAAACTACTTTTTACGTGGTCTTTGTAAATCAGCTCATTACAAGGCCAAATTGTGCTTTTTGGGAAACATAAGCGGATTCCGCAAGAAGGACGCTGCTTTTGTTCTTCTTTTGTTCTTTCAATTTTTTTGATCGTTCCGACAAAGTTTTAACATGATTAAAGACTTGCCTCTGGAATCCAGGACTATACAGACACAATTTTGTTCGTATATTCTGTGCACAGTTTAGCCTCGTAATGCTAGTTTTTCTAGCACTCATGTAAAGTGAAAATTACCTATATTTGATAAATAAAATCAATTGCCTACCTCACTCGATAGCGCCAGCGTTTCTATCGGATCATTTCCCATTTATTTCCATTTAAAGTTGGGCACTGAATGCCCGTTTTACACTTCTTTTTTCCAGAGTTTCTTGAGACGAAAGTTGTTGTTTTTTTTTTTACAAATTGAAATTTTGTTACATTACCTAACCCGTTAAAACCTGCAGCGATTTAATTTTTCGGTGGTAAAAACTTTCTATCGTTGAAATTACTCGCTCGAGAAAGCAAATTGACCCCGCCGTCTAAATGAACCATAATCTGAATGAACTTCAATGTAAATGATGCATTTTATTTGAGCCCCATTTGCTCAACAGGAGATATTCTAACACAAAGAAGCTGCCAAGACCTTAGGTTTTTTTGCTTGTTATCTTAATTGAGCATGATTTGTATCGTAGATATCTGATGGCATTGATTTGGGCAAACACCTTCTGGCTGCTGAAAAGCTTGGCAGACAGCATTTTTTAAATCTGGCGTCTTAACCCCTTTGAGCATGTCAAGTTTAGCTTACATCATGGCACGGTTGGCAATCCAGTTAAACTGATAATGAAAAAACGGATTTTTTAAATCAGTTTTTTGTTTTGTTATTTTTGAACAACTTTTCGGATTGATTGAGAAGCCAATAAATGTTTCGGAAAGATAATAAGTTCTCTTGCTTTTATGTCAATTTTAAAATCATTTGCAATGACTTTACCCTCTGCGCAGCTACTGATGAAACACATGATTTGGTTCTAAAGATTGTACTTCATTCTTAGCTCCTCTTGTAGCCAAAAGAGAGAACAAGAGAGGTGAAAATCAAACATTTGCTTACTTTCTAAATATTTTGACTTTGGGGGGTAACCCACAAAGCAAGGCTTTGGTTTGTGTCTTTTTGTGTTTTCTCTATAAGATTTGCTCTTGAAAAATAACGTTTAATGAAATCTCTTTTTTGTGATGACATGAGTCGTATCTCGTTTGGATTCTGAACCAATTCTATAAGATAATATACACAGAGGGGGAGCAAAGCTTCGCACCACTTGCGATACAACACAAAAAAAAAACATAACAGAAAAAATGAAGAAAAAAAATTTTAAAAAAATTTTAATTTTTGTTTGTTTCGATAGAAATTCATTTTAGGCAAGCATGCAAGACATTTGAATATCAAATTAGCAACGAAATGAACTTAAAAGTCCCCCTGAAGCAAGAATGAACAACTCTTGCAATTGCAACTGCAACTAAACTTGCTTTCAGCATAAGCTAATATTTTGATGTGGCAACTGAGCCGACAAAATTTGAGTCGGCAAAAGAAAGTAGGGCAATTCAATTTTTACCAGACACTTTTTTCATTTACATAAATATTGATTAAAACAGGTTTCAACCCAGACTCGAACCCCAGTGTTTAAGCTGCATAGGCGACGTGGTGACCTTTAGGCAAAATAGAAAAGAACGTCAAAAACTTTAAGAAAAAATAAGAAGTGAAAAAATGTGAAAAGAAGAGCAGAATGTCCCGTAAGAAAAATTGTTTACGGGAAAAAAATCTTGTTCCCGATTACAAGACACTTGCTCTCGCAAGTGTAACGATTGTCCATTTCAGCAATTTCCAACGGTTTCACTTTTACAAAAACTAAATTTCTACTGTTCAATTTCAGCTTGAAGTAATTTGCTTATGATAGCTTTTCACTTGAAACAACTCTTGATTCTATTTAAAAATCTTGGCTTTTTGTTGCTGAAAACATGTTTTGTGCTGTTCGCATCGTTTCAAATTTACTAAAATAAAAGAAAGTTTGATGTTTAATGAATTGAAGTAACAAATAAGAACGAAATCGAATAAAGGTCAATAAACTAAAAGATTTGAAACAATGTAAAAAAATGAAACAAAAAAACTTTGCACGCGCATCCAAAACCGCAAACAAGTTACTCCATGTATAAAAAAATACCTATGAATTGTTCCAAATTGCTCTGTATGATTTTTTACCACCGCGATTAATTTTTTGACCATGCCGCGACTAAACTTTCGACCATGGCGACCATGATACGCTAAATGCAGATTCAGTCCGCAAGAAACCTTTAACCCATCGCGACCGAAATACGGTGTTTCCAGAATTTGTCGCGACTTAAAACCCTGTCCAGACTATGGATTTCCAATCGCGTAATTATTATTTACACGACCGAAAAATCGAAAATTAGTTGCAAACATCGACCCTGGTCAAGAAAATGGTCGCTCTCAGTGAAAAAAACTATCTTTGAAATGACGATTTTATGTTTCTGTTGTAGCTTTAACACGTTTATTGGACAACATCTTAACTTTGTGAAATAATTACGGCCTTTAGGCTAAAAATAATTCAAAAATTTGCTTGTCTGGTTCCGCGCTTGTCTTTTATTGGTCTTTTATGTGGTGGCCATTAATGAGCAGAACTGTCTAGGATCAGAAGGGTCCAAAAGCAGAAAAACAAGAAAACTTTTTTCATACGGGCTGCTTGATAAAGCAACTTTTAGGTTTGCCAACACTAGCTATGAGTATCTTCATAATTATTTTATATTGACTTTTTCAAAACAAAGATAAATTTTTTCAAATTTTGCATTACCTATTTGTTTTTTTTTAGTAAAAATGACCATTAAAACTTTTGTTTTCGCTAATTAGTTTCGAAAAATCAATATTT